CCAGCTCTGCGCCCTGCCAGTGCCCAGGAACCGAGTGCTGGCGAAACCCAGGGCAGGAGGACGGTCGGGGGCTGGGAGTGAGGAAGGCTGAACAGCGGGAACCCGGGGACACGGACTCAGAAGGCAGGAGAAGCCGAGCCTACCCGGCCACCACCACACGAACGAGGGACAGCGTGAGGGGCCACCCATGGGCAAGGCGGGGGCCAGACTAGACCCCCGGGACCGCCTCAACCTGGACTCAGCTGCTCAGTGTGGGGGGATCCCGTGCCCTCACCCAGCCTGGTGCAGCCCCTCGGTCAGGGGTCCCGGGAGCACCGGGCCATTCCTGCAAAGGCAGCCAGTGGACGTGGCCTCAGCCAGGCTCCGTGCAGCTCAGCAGGGCGCGGTGGAGGGCAGAGCAGCCCGACCACCAGGGGCTGCCCCTGCCCGGGCCTGGCCAGGTGAGGGGGCGGGAGCCACAGGCAGGTCCAGCAGCCCAGGCTGTGGGCTCAGGGGCCCAGCTGGCACCCCACATGGACAAGGGGCTGGTGCTATGCCCACGCTGGGCTCCCAGGGGGCGAGCGGGACCTGGAGTGCCTGCTGCTGGGCCCCTGCCAGGGCATCCTGTGAGAACCACCCTGGAGACGGGCTGCGGCCCTGGGGAAGGCGGCCGCCCACCACCGCCGCCCACCGGCCATACCTTGTGTTGGCGATCCGCTCCCGCCACTCCTCGGAGAGGAAGTCACCTCTTTCCAGCTGGAAGAGAGCACAGGTGAGCCAGGTCAGGCCTGCGCCTGGGGGTCTCAGGGCAGCGCCCCCAGCCCCGCCTGGCCCCTGTGCGGACAGGATGAAATGAGCAGAGGGCGGAGGGGGGAGGACGCCCAGGACACCGCGGCTCGCTCGCCCTGCAAGAGAAAGGGACAGCCCGGCCACCGCGGGCCAGCCGAGCCACTCCAGGACACCCCGGAAGGAGCGGAGCCACCTGGGGCGGGCGGAAGCAGTGACGGCCGCACTCAAGACACGCTTGCAAGGCAGAAGCCGCGTCCCCGCGCTCACACGGAAGCTCAAGGGCAGGGTCCCACCGGCCCACCGCCCAGGGCCAGAGGCCTAGCCACCCTGCCAACCTGCGCCTGCGCCCCTCGAGAACATCTGGCCATCCCCCGGTGAGGGCACGGGCACTGGCCACACCCACCCCGGGCGGGCGCGCGGCGAGGCGGGGAGCACGCCCACAGAGGCCCCGCGGCAGCTCCCCACCTCCAACGGCTGGGGTTGGCCCAGAGAAAGCAGACCCGGCCGCCAGTCCCCGCCTCGCTGGTCCCCACAGCATGGCCCGGAGCCAAGGAGGCGCCGCACGAGTCCAGACACAGCAGCACCCCCTCAGCACCCGCCACCCCCAGCAGCTGAGCTGTGTCCCGGCAAGAACCAGCCACAGGGTCAGCACCAGGCAAGCGGGGCACAGGTGGGAGCCCCCCGTCCGTCCACACGGGGCACAACTCACCCAGAACAGGGAGGCCCCGACACGCACCCAGACACAGTCTGTCCTCACGGAACGCCTTGGCCGTGAGCAGGAGGGCTCCGACACACGCTAAGACATGGTCGGTGCACGCCCACACGGGAGCACGACTCAGCCATGAACAGGGAGGCCCGACACGCACCCAGACACGGTCCGTCCATGCCCACATGGGAGCACGACTCAGCCAGGAACAGGGAAGCCGACCGACACGCACCCAGACACGGTCCGTCCACGCACACACGGGAGCACGACTCAGCCAGGAACAGGGAGGTCCGACACGCACCCAGACACGGTCCGTCCACGCACACACGGGAGCACGACTCAGCCAGGAACAGGGAAGCCGACCGACACGCACCCAGACACGGTCCATCCGTGTCCACATGGGAGCGCGACCGAGCCATGTGCAAGGAGGAGCCCATCTGCACAGGACACACGACCCAGCCGTGCACAGAGAGGAGGCCCCTCGGCCATCTCACACTCAGGGAGCCAGGGCAGGCGCAGAGCCTGGGGCACGATGCCCAGAACAGGCGAGCGCTGCGCCCGGCCACTCTGGATGGCACGCCACCCCTCTACCGTGGAGTGTGCCAGGAGCGCTGCCACGCAGGCGGCACGGGCCCAGGGCCTCCGAGCTGTCACCAGGCCAGCCCCCGCAGGGGCAGGTCGAGACGGAGACGCCTGGCAGCACCCAAGGCCTGGGGGCCGCGTGGACCTGAGCTGGCCTCGCGGGCGGGGAGCCTCGGCAGCGGCGGCACACGCTGTCCTCCCCTGGGGCCCTGTCGTGGTCCTGCCTACGTGTCCCTGAAGAGTGGCGGGTCTCATGCAGAGGGAGGCCTTCCCATGTGGTGATCCTGGCTGCACTCGGACTGGAGGAGGTACCAGGCACCAGGCCCCCCAGGTGGGGCGGTGGGGGCGTGGACCCGATCCGAGGGGCACGGAGCAGCCTCGTGGCAGGGCAGGTCCCTGGTGGGCGGGGCTCTGAGTCTCAGGGTCGGCGGGAGGCAGGACACAGAGCTGCCCACCAGGGACCTGCTCGAGGAGCCAGTGGGGAGCTCTGAGCCTCAGGGTCAGTTGTCGGCTCTTGCCCACAGAACTGGGCCATGGGGACAGCCAGGAGGGGCCACATGCACCCACCAGGAAGGGGCACCCTGAGAGCTTGGAGGGCCAGGGTCGCGCAGAGGCGACCGGCCAGGCCACTTAGGTCAGGAGGGGCAGGCCTTCTGCCCAAACCCTGCCCCAGCACGTGGCGACTTGGCAAGCAGACCGCACAAGGGACAGGGACGCGGCTGTTGCCGGGGGCAACACGTGGCTCAGCGCTGGCCGGCAGGACGGGCCCAGTGGCCCAAGATACAGCACAGGGAGGGAGGTGACTGCAGAGGGCAGGAGCGCCGTGCAGGGTGGGACCTGGCCGGGACACTAGCACGCGTGGGCACACACCAACACGGCAGCCCTGTGGGAAGGCAGGCTGCTGCTCGAGCTCACACCGGGGCTGCCGCGGCGGAGCCAACGGGACGGGCAGGAGATAGGCGGGCGGAGCTGCGGCGAGGGCCGAGGGGCAGGGCAGGGGCGTGGAGCGATGGCACTCACTGTGTATTCTGCATGCTTTTTTCCATACCATTTCATCCACTTCCTGAATTCGCGGTCCATGGTCTGCGGGGCGAGACGGCCCGTCACTGTCACCATCGGTGTCACCGACCGGGCAGCCAGGAGGGTGAGCAGAGCCCGTGACACTGGGTAACCCACCGCCCCAAGGCACACCCCAGGGCATGCGTGGCCAGAGGAGGCGGGCTCCGACTCCCAAGGGCAAGGCCCACTGTGCATGGAGCCGGAGCACATCTGCAGGCAGGTACACGGGGCGCCACCGGGCACCCCCACGCCCTACCCACCCCCCGGCCCCCCCCACCCCCGCCGTCCCCAGCTCTGGCAGCTGCTAGAGTGGTGGTGGGGCCAAGCAAGGCCACTGCGGTGGGAGGAGGGTGTGGCTGGCTTTGCTGGGTTTCCCGAGACACCAGCAACCGCGCAGCACGGCGGGCAGCTCCCCAGCGCACCAGGACCCTGAAAGGTCCCACCCGGGGCACTCACCTCCGCGTACTTGGCTGGGATGTCGGCTTTCTCGACGCCGTAGTGGTGTCTGCAGTTGGTGGCGGCAGCAACCTGGAGCACGACCTGGCCCACACCTTCAGGCAGGGAGAGCTGTCAGGTGCACACGAGGCGGGGCGCAGCCGCCCGCAAAGGAGGGTGCCCGGCCGGTACTGAGGCGCGGCCTCAGCCAACGCCCTTCCTGGCCCAGGGCCCTCCACAGCTCCGACCCCTGGTCCCCACACCACACGGCAGTGCAGACCCGGGTCGGACGGCGAGGGCAGGGCCTGGCTCTGTCACCTCGCGGCGTCAACACGGAGCCAGGGAGGGCGTCCCCTGTGTGAGCTCGGCGTAGTGTCCCTGGGAGCGAGGGACGGCCCTGTCACGCAGCCAGCACATCCGGGGACGGGGGCGGGGACAGCGACCGCGCTCCCAGGAGGGGCAGGCGGGGCGGGGCGGGGCGGGCACTCCCGGTTCTCACCGCTGCCCAGGTCCACGAAGAGGTCGTCCTCGGTCATCTTGATCTCGTCGATCATCTGGGCCACCAGGTCGAAGGAGGTCTCGCCATAGACCTCGGGGGAGAAGGGCTCGTAGTTGTTGAGTTTCTCGGGGTCGGTGACCGAGTGGTTGTACACCTGCTGCAGGACGTGCCGCAGCAGCCCGGTGGACGGCCTCGTGTTCAGCTTCATGGGCTGCGTGGTGCCCTTCCACTGCGGACACAGCGGGCCGCCCTCCCCCGGCGGGCCTCGC